TTTCCTGAAAGGTGCTGGCCAATGGGAGAAAAGAGGTGGGGTTTCCTGAAAGGTGCTGGCCAATGGGAGCGGTTCTCACTACAGGACAGAAACGTGGAGGAAAAGTCAAAAGAAGAAACCTGAAGGAAGTTAAAATGTGATTGTGGGAAAACGGTAAATGGATCAGAACTGTAACCTGGTCGGGGTCAGCTTCCGGTGACCCGGTTCTGATGATGGTTCTGATGGATATGACGGTCCAAACAGGCTGCTGACACTAAAGTTATCAACACTGAGAGGAGAGATGCAACGAGCCAACCCGGGAGAGGGTCACCGGCTCCGACCTCGTTAGACCCGTTACCATGGAGATTCACTGTTTGAGACTTTTCTAGATGTAAATAAACCAGAATTTAACTTGTTTGCACCGATAATCTGAACGTTAGAACCGAGTCTATTAAACTAATATGTTCTGGTTCTGGTCGGATCGGATTTCTGGGCTTAAGGCAGGAGGACAGATTCAGAATAAAAAGGTTTTTTATTATTTATTCAAGTTGGGGAAAAAACAGCCTCTTTTTGTTTTACAGATGAAGGAAAGTAACACACTAATAAAAAATATTAAACTTATTTTTAGCTTAATATTGGCTGATTTCATAGCTAATAAAAAGACAGAATTTTTTCTATCTCCAGTTTATCCGACCAAATCTGGACACATTTAGATTTTATTTGGTGATTCATTTGAAAGGAGTTGAGTTTTCCTCCACCGGGCGCCATCGACCTCCAGAGCTATGACATCATCAGGTGATGAGGACGGAGTATCTGTGAGCTGATGATGATGTCAGCGGTTTGTGGCGCTGGGTCTCCTGCCTCAGATGAACTGAGATCATTCAGTCTCTCTCGCTGCAGGTCCGGCTCGTTTTTCTACTTGTGGTGTTTTTTATGCTGATGATCGACTCGTGTTGTTCTTGTTGTCGTGTTTTTATCTCTTCCGACCCGTTGGACTTTTCCCCAGAACTCTTTAAGGGCTTTTTATTCCTGCTCAGACGTTGAGGAGCTGCTCTGCCCGAATCTGTTTTCCTTCCAATAAAGATCCAGATCACGCTCTGCCTTCGACTCCGGGTTGTTTCTAACAGATATGTGGAATTGTCTAAGGACACCAAACGGGCAGAACCAGCCGGGTCCAGCAGGAGGAAACCAGGGTGACATGTGGGTCCAAAGTCGGGACCAAACTCAGACCTGAGATCTGAATGCAGCTGCAGGCAACATGTCCAAGAACAAAAGTATATCTTAACCAAAAAATACTTAAAACAGGTTTGAAGCAATATTGATATATTTAAGTAAACCAAGCCGCGGGGCCCCCTGCTGGCTGAGGGCGGTAACACAGCAACAGAACGCTTCGGTCGGAGAGGCGACTCCATCACTGACAAACTGAGTTCATTTCATGTAATATTTTAAAATGATGTCATCAGACAGACCAACATGGAGCGGACGTCAGCATTTCCACTTTAAAACAGATTTTACAACACAACATTATTGCAGAAGTTCAAATGCAAACTTTCAAACAAAAAAAGGATATTTAGGCAGCTTG